TTCTGCTAAGAGCGCACACGGGCCTCGAAAAAATCGGCACAAGACCCGCTAGATTTTGTTCCCTGGACGGGGGCATTTCGTCGCGGACCTCTCCCTCGCTGGGCAGGCGTGGCTGCCGGGGGAAGGTGGCCCGAGTCGTCCGCGGGAACGCCCCGGTGCACGGCTCGAGGCGGGGATGCATCCACAACCACCGCCTGAGGTTCGATCTTCGGGGACCTCGGCAGTCGGACGGCGGACTTCGCTACATTTGGCCCCCCACGCTGCCAAGCGAATCGCAAGCAGATCGGACAGGGACCATCAGCCAACTCTCCAGTTACCGTCTGGGTGGCCGGCTGCGGCCTGGCGGCCTCGCAGCCGACGACGGCCTAGGCAACGATGAACCGGGAATCTCTGTGTCGTCGTCCACTTCCCAGGGGGGGCGCTGCGACCCCCACGGCCGCGTCCGAATCGCTCGCTCGCACCACGGCGCTCCGACCGCACGGCGAGGTCCTCCTCCTCCTCCTCCTCCTCCTCCTCCTCCTCCTCCTCCTCCTCCTCCTCCGCCTCCTCCTCCTCCTCCTCCTCCTCCTCCTCCTCCTCCTCCTCGAGGATCCGCCAGGCGGCGGCTGCCTTCGGACCTGGGCCAGCCTAGCACCGCTCAATTGAACTCGAGGCCCTCCGTCGGCCAACACAGGCAGAACTTCCCCAAAGGGCACCCTCCCCAGGATGCGCAGGAACGCCCCGCAAACGCGAAGGACAGTATAGGGGTACCCTATACCCGCCCCGAACGGACCTCCATCCCGCACCTCGGCCCGACCGCGCGGCATTACAACCGCGCGACGGGGCCCTCGAGGATCACGTCCCCCAGGCGGTGGTTCCCCCCCCCCCCCCTTCGGGGACGCCGAGCTCGCCCGCCTGCCCTCGCGGGGCGGCCTCGCGGGGGCCGACCCCCTGGGCCGCGAGCCCCGCGGAGGCGGCGCGGAACGCGCGGAACGTGCTCCGTGCGACCGTGTCCCGGCGGGGTCGCGCCACATTTGGAGCTGGCGGCGCGAACAGAGGGGGTGGAGGGATAAGGGAAGGCCTCTTAGAAGGAGGCTCGGCTGCTTCTTAGAAGATGCCAGCCTTACATTCATAGAGAAAGCCCGCGCCTTCTAAGAAGCAAGGGTGCTTCTAACCCCCCCCCCTCCACCCACCCCCGTCTGCGCGGGGCTGATGGAGGCTTGGACATGGGCATCAACATCAACGCAGGGGGGGGGGGCCTCCACCGGGGTCGATGACCCTAGCTTTCGGAGCTGGTGGCAGTCTTTCGGCCGCCTAGGAGGCCAGAGCATTACCACCATCGCCGAGATCCGGATACTCTCCCCTCGGTGGAGGCACACCGCCGATCCTGGTGTTGGTGTCGACCTCTGAGAGAACGCGTTTCACGGGCGCTCGTCTTGGGAAAATTCAGCGGCGCGTTTCGAAAGGGGGGGGGGCCCCCCCCCCAACACTCGGCGCCATCGATCAAACCAGGCCCCCCTCCCCCCAAACCTCCCCCTCCTGAAATCCCCCCCCCCCCTTCGGCGCCGGCGCTGGCGCTGGCGGCCGCCAGCAGCGCCACGGCGGGGACGCAGCGACGATGACCAAAGCAGCCCAGGGGGGGGGGGGTTCAATCCCCCCCCCTCCCAACGAGGGGGGGGGGTTCAAAAGCCCCCTTCCGCCCCACCCCCCCTCAGCGCCGGCGCCGGCGCTGGCAGCCGCCAGCAGCGCCCACGGCGGGGATACAGCGACGATGACCAGAAGCAGCCCAGGGGGGGGGTTCAAACCTCCCCCCCCCTTCCCAAAGGGAGGGGTTCTAACCTGAGCTGCTTAGATCCAGGTCTTAATCAGCGGAAAACGCTCCGAAAAGTAAGAAAAGTGCGAAAAGAGCGAAAAGTGCGAAATGCGAAAAATTGAAAAAATGCAAAAAGTGAGAAAATCACGAAAAGTAGAACAGTGCGAAAAGAAGAAAGGCGCGAAAATTGCGAAATTTGTAAAAAGCGCGAAAAATAGGAAAGTGCGAAACTTGCGAAAAGCGCGAAAAGTGTGAAAATACCGAAAAGCAAAGGAAATGTAAGAAATGCTTGAAAAGCAGCAAGACACATTATAAAACTGAGACGCGGAAACCATCAACAAACTGGAACAGTAACTTCTTGCGAGGAACCCAAAAACAAAGAAAGCCAGGGTAGACATGTCACGGAACCTCCGTTCTCCTTCCTCCCCCATCGTTTTTCCCTGGAATGAAAAGCAAAATACGGAAACCACAAGGCATGTCACGGAATACCCCTCGGGCGTGTCACGGAATACCCCTCGTCGTCGTCGTCGTCGTCGTCGCCGTCCTCGTTGTCCTCATCAGTTGTCCTCCTTTTCCTTTTCCTCCTCCTCCTCCTCGTCCTCCTCCTCCGATCCCCCCCTTGTCAC